TTTATCCCTCTCCATTCTGAGAATTTACCATTAATTCCTACCCTTTGTTCCCTGTCTTTTAACCAGTTCTCAATCCATGAAAGGATCTTCCCTCTTATCCCATGACAACTTAATTTACGTAAGAGCCTTTGGTGAGGGACCTTGTCAAAGGCTTTCTGGAAATCTAAGTACACTATGTCCACTGGATCTCCCTTGTCCACATGTTTGTTGACCCACAAGATCCAACCTCTTCTTGGCCTGCAGCCGACCGGAAGGGACTCACTACAGTGCCTCAGGCTAGCAGCGGTGCAGAACTCCACCCCACCCCAGGACTGCCCTCCACTGTCCAGTTGGGATATCAGCTCAAGTCCTGATATGGGCCCAAAGAGGAGAGACAGCAACCAGCTGACACCTCACCTGAGAGGTGGGCTGAAATCTGACAACGGTCACCGATTCCAAACGCCACATACAGCGAGGTGCCTGGAGCTAATTATAGAGCTTTGAGCAATTCCTTTCCACAGGGATGTGCTAAGGTTTCTCTGGTCCTGGACCCAGAACACCTTTCTCCCAACTGGGGCCTCAGTCCCAGAGCTCAGGTTCCCAGCATCGCCACGGTTTCCCCAGTCTTCGAGTCAGCCTCCACAATCCCCACCCAGAGCCCTACAAGAGCATCCCCGGGCTGCAGAACATCGTGTGCACGGCTACAGCTGAACAGAACAGGACCTCAGGGGAGCCCCCTCCTCTGCACAACCATGACCCCTTGTGCTACATTTATGGTTTGCATCACTGGTTTCCCAGGGACATACGTTTCCAATTTTCCTTCTTAACCCTCTGCCCAGCTCAGCCTTTCTCACCCACTACGTCGAGCTGGTAGGTGTGGTTGATGCTCCCATATTTGTTCTCCACGATGCAGGTGTAGTTGCCTTTATCGGACGGCACCACTGAGTCCATGATGATGCTCCACGTTGCGTAGCGGACCTAAGGAGGCAGGAGAGACAACAAAGACAGTTCAATGTGGTTATTGGCATACAGCTTTATCATTTGCGTACTCCAAATGGTATGGTGAGGAATTAGCAGCCCCAGACCATGCCAGGGCTGCGTTTGATAGAACAAATGTCCTTGAATTCCAGAGCACGTCAAAGCCATCTCTGACCCCTGGGCCTCATGTTCTAGGCAGGCCATAAATCTCGGCTCAAGGTCACCTTTACCCGTTGCTACAGGGGGATGGTAATCGCTCCCAGCTGTCCCAGGACAGACGCGACACAGAGCCTTCTGCATCTGGAAACATGATGTCAATGGAGTTTGATGGGCTGGCACTGACTGCAGGAAACCCCTCTCCAGGTAGTCCCAGCCTGCCTTCCCGCCCGCAGCATCACGGGAGCAGAATTTCACCACGCCAAACTGTCTCGCGTCTCTCAAAAGAGACTGCCCCGGCCTCTGCTACTCCCATGTCAGTCAGATAAGCACTCCTCCCTAGCCAGTCCCCACTCCCACGCAGGAATCAATTCCCAGTTCAGCAGACAGGACAGAGCCTGGGTATCGGGGCACATCCCTGAGTCACCCCCCGCAACCTCCTGACTTTATCCCCTTTTGTGGGCAGTCCTCTTCCCACCCTTGCCCCCAGGGCCAGCACCTCCACACCCAATTGCAGGGTATCCGAGCCCCTGAGTGGAAACAGGGATTAAAAAGCATGCAGGTGAGCAAGGGTTCTCCTGCTGATGTTCCCAGGGGGCTTCATGAAACTGTAGGCCAGACTCCACCCCATGCATTTCACAACACCGCAGCAAGCTCTGAACAGCTCAGCATGCTCCAGGCAGGGTAGCTGAGACATGCACTGTTGCAATTACAGCATCTTGGAGCAGCAAAACTTTTTCCTGCCCTCCCAGCCCCAAAGCATCCCAGATCTCGGCTGTTTGGCTTGGAGAGGGCGAGGGGTTTTTACTGTGGATGTCCCATGCTGGACTAGCGTCTCCACTATAGTTTCCTGGGACCTGGAAGCTGAGCTCCTTCTTCTCAACACGGCCATGTTCACTCCTGAATAAAACCACCTTTGTCACTGCTGGATGAAAGCAGGATCCCAAGAAGCAGCTTCTCCTATCGAGACCTTCTCTGATACCAGCTTCATACTGGTGCTGTTGCATTCCTGGCTCCCAGCTGGATTCCAGCCCCATTATCCCACCTCCCGATCCGGGCATTGCATTGTGTGCCCAGGCCTTCACCTTCCAATTACAGCCAGTGTGCCACTGTCAGAGTCAGCTCACAGCAACAGGCAGGGGCAGCAGGAGCTTCCCACAGCACAAGGACACAATGCAGAGCACTGAGCCCTAGGCGCCTCTGTAGCCTCTCCAGGCACTGTCACTGCAGAAATGCCATACGGTAGCAGAGTGATTTAGGGTGGCATTTGGGGAATGGAGAAGCATTTTCTTCCTGTGCTTACTGAAAAACTGGCTTGCCCTGGGAGAAGGTGCTCGCCGGCCTCGGTTCTGTCCTGAAACTTTTCTCAACAACTGTTGTGAGTCACTATTTATACAGTTGTGTCTTTTGTCCCCAGGTACATCATGGACTTCATGTGAACAGCACCACTGAAAGGCAGCCAGCACTAGCCTAGGAGGGTAGGGTCCAGGGAGACCAGCCAGGAGATGAAGCACCACCCCATTGCTATGGAAAGTGCCCAGGCATCTAGTTTACAAGAGACACTCCCCTCCCCTGCACCATGAACAGCCCAGGGATCAAAACCTCCTGGCACGATGGGGCTCTTTCCAAAAGGTGCAAGGCTGAGTCGGCCCTGCTGGGATTTGAACTTTGGAAGCCCAGTTGCTTCAACAGTGATGCATGAGAGGAAGACTGCCCTTGGGTTAAAGACACTGGAGGGGAGCTCAGAAAGCTAGGGTTCTTATTCCTGGTTCTGGGTGATCTTGGGCTACCCTATGCCTCAGTTTTCCATCTGTAAAAAGGGCTACGAGTACTTTCTTTCTCCTACCCTGTGTCTCGTCTATTTAAATGGTCGGGAAGGGCAGGAGCACTCTTACTATGTGCATGTATGGGCAGCACGTGGCACAGTGGGGCCCCGATCTCAGAAATAATAATAATGACAAACCTAATATAGGAGGAGAAGGTAGGGAAAGGTGGTGTCATTGATGAAGGCGTTTTCCTCGGAGTCCCATGAGCACCAGGAGGGTCGGATTGAAAGCGTACAATTCCAGGGTGTTACAAGGATGAAATATTACTAACATACGCCAAGGAGACTCTCCTGGTGTCCATGCCACACCCGTTCCCTGCCTGAAAGGCCAGTCTCCCTCTCACCTTTGATTCCTTAGGACCAGCCAGGGGAATCTTTGAGCAGATAGCTCCGCTCCAGCATGTAATAAAGTGAGTTTAGCAGAGTCATGATGTGGCTGATTTCCTGGGGTTTGTGCCAGCGCCTTGCTGTACCCTAATGGGACATGGGCCAATAGCTGGATTTCATTTGCACAATCAAATGCATGAGTCAGTGGCCAGTGAATAATCAAACTGCTAGCTGGAGGGGAGCACAGAGCAGAGGGCTGACTCAGAGAGTCTCTCTCGCAGGAGAGGGCAAGGTCTTCTAGGAGACCTGAGGCTCCTATCCCAAGCACAGGGAAACACACTACTCGAGGTAGCAGCGGCTGCCACCAGGTTACCATACTGGCCACACAACGTTCCTTGCTTGCGTCTCTGTGGCTGGGAAACCACCTCCCACAACAGATCTATGGCTTATCTGTTTCCTTCCCTGCAGCCCTGAATGGGGAGCTCCCACTGTGCTCCAGAGGAGCTGACACAGGTGGGAATCCTTGTCTCCAGCAGAGAAAGGCTAATTCAATAGCACACAAAGCCATCCAGCTGTTCTAGAAGTTTTTCAAGGCCCAATACACGGGCCAACTCAGTCAGGCAAAACCAAAATGTAGTTGCTACAAATGACTAAGAAAAACAAGAGTGCATCAATGGAGCTCGATTTCACTTTCGATAAAGAGTAATTATCATCTGAAAATGGCACAGACCCTTCTTCAAATTGGTTTGATTCAGGAGAAATGAGGATAATTATTTGATGCATGAATCATGGATTGTGTCTCATTAAAGCCATTATTGATTCCTCCTGAGAGACCTTGACCAACACTTCAGTTTTAAAAAGAGAAGGAAAAAAGGACAGTTCTTCCCTCTGGCTACTTCGGGAGGAGTTTTATGGATGCAGGAGTCTATGCAATGGAGCTGTGGTGGCAGCACTGAATCGTTCAGCACTAAAACACGTTGTTCTCCGGGCAACCAAAGGAGGAGTGTCAAAACCAGACAGCAGAACGCCCACACCCACTGCCAGAACGCCTTTCGCTTCTCCAGAGGTGCAACCACACCACTCACGGTAGCTTTAAAGATGACAGGGAAATGCTCCCCTAGCAATCACAGGGTAAGCTGTGCCCTCCAATATTGTACAATAGCGACTGCTAGAAAGAAACAGAGCAGCAAGTGCTCTCTCTCTCTTTTGGCTGTTGGACTCCAATGCTGGCCGTCCAGGGAGCCTGCATAGTGTTCCCAGGTCCTCTCCTGCTTTGATTTGAACTCAGAGCCCCGAACAACAGCTTTGTTACAAGGGAAAGGAAACAGTGAGATACCAGCCCCACACTCCTTGGAGAGCTCCAGAGTCTAAGGCTCCATTCGCCTGCTTCAGTTCACTCCCAGACAGCACATCCCTGGCAAACAACAGACCCGCATTGGAGCCAAGTGGCCTGTCCTGCTCTTCCTAAGGGAGACAAGTATCAGGGAGTGAATTATGGCCCGAGAGCTGGGCCTGGGAGACTTTCCCAAGAAACCTGTCAGCCTGGGCCCCCTACTGCTTCTGCTGGCCATATTGTTGCCCTGTAATAAAATCATCCCCCATCCCCTGCAGTAACTGGGCTTGTCCTATAACAGCCCCGTCGTGGGAAGAACCCAGAGAGTTCCCCGGAGTATCACAAATGAGGGGGGGAATCTGATGCAGTTTGTGTGCAGATCAATACAGCAGGGGAGCAAAAAAACCCAATGTCAAAGCTGGGCAAGAGAAACTCATTTCAGCCTTTCTTCCATCCCCTCTCCGATAACGCATACTAGCGCAAGCTTGACCCATCAGCAGGTCACCCTCACAGGTCTGTTTTGTAACCTGAATGTTACAGGGGCCCATCTGTCCCTGCTGGGAGACTGCAGCCCAAATGAGCAGCCTTCCTGGTGCATGCTAATCTGCAACACCCATTCACTTTCCCCCCCAAAGCAATGGTTTCAGTTTAGGTTCTTATCTGACTCCTCTTCCTGTAGCTTGGGAGGTGCCCAGATACATTTAGAGATGCAGCCTCACCATACCCCTGGGAGATGGAGAAGGTTTGTTACCCCCATTTCACAGGTGGGGGAACTGAGGAACAGAGAGGTTAAGTGACTTGCCCAAGGTCACAGAGGGGGTCTGTACCAGAGACAGGGAGTTGAACCCAGAACTCCAGAGGCCCAATCCAGTGCTTCCACCACATGTCCATCTTTCCTCCTCCTCAATGCACTTTTCAATAAGAATTATTTGTACCAGAAGCCCAGAGCTCACAACCCAACCAGCACCACTCCAGTATCACTCCCACAATGCTCCACCCTGCAACAACAACCCAGCACGCACATATACTCCCCCCTGCAGTGACAGCCCAGTGCACAGACAGCCCCGTGCTCACAAAGTATTCTACATCACCACCACCCTGTGCAAAGCTCATTCACAAGCAACACTACAATAACAAACCTATGCACACGTATCCAGTGGGGATAGAATCCAATACATTTTCAAGAAGGAGGCGTTTTATATTCAGGTTCTCAAGGGATTATTATAAACAGCAAAGGGGAAACAAATCATTTTAGAAAGTTAGAGAAATGTCTCCCTGGGACTCTCCCCCCACTTTATAATCCTGCAGGCTGTTGGGCGACCAGCATTGAGAGAACTTCCCCTTCCAACCTACCTGGACATACAAGAGAGATGCTGCTGCTTTTTCCAGAACAGGATACTTGGGCCCAATCCTCAGCGGGTGTAGGCTGGCAGAGCTCCATTGCAGGGAATGGAGCTGTGTGGCAGGCAGTGAAATGAGGCCAGTTTACCCCAGCTGAGAACCTGGCCCTAAAGAGAAAGGCTGACCCTAGAAGAACAAGAGCCCCCAGGGGGGCATTCAGGACTGCTCACTTTATGCAGCTCCTTGCACCATGATACTGGGAGCCTGGGGTTGGAACTTGGTGCCTATTCACTGCAGTGTTGGGTGCACAAAGAATGCCCAAGACCCTGCCTGGCAGAGCCCGTTAGCTTCAGACAGAGAAAATCCCACAGCCTCTGTGCTCCAGACCAATCCATACCCTCTATCTGCACAGCACCCCCATTCCTGCTCACCTTGTATCCACCGATGCGGTGGTCGGGCTTGAACTCCTTGCCGTTTTTCAGCCAGCGCAGCGTGGGGCTGGGTGTCCCGCTCGACGGGCACTTGAACTTCACCGTTTTGGCAGCTGGGACAGCATGGAGCTTCTTCTCCATCTTCTCGGGGTATGTCCAGTAGGGAGCCACAGCCACTGAGCAGAGAGAGGCGAGTCAGCACGGGGGAGGACGCAGACAGGAGGGACCCGCGGCTCAGTCGCTGGCACTGGGACCTCACAACGGGCCATGTGCGCTTGGAACTTCCCCTGCAGGCTGCCCAATGCCCCCAGTGCAAATGGGGCACACTGAGATGGACGCCATCCCTCTGCCCCAGCCCCCGCTCCTGGCTTAGGGGAAGAACAGAGTCTGATGGCTGCAAAGGGGTTCGTTGTAAAAATGGCTGTGAAGGAGAGGAAGGGCCAACATAGCCAAAGGGAGAGCCCGAGACAAACCCAGGGAGGTCCAAACCTGCACTAGTATCAGTTCTTTCTAGAGCCCCTCTCAGCTGGATGAGCACCCAGGCCCTGTTAACAGGCCACCGGCTGCCTGCAGTGCAACCCGAGCCCCAGCCAGCAGCCTGTCGCCGGGCAAGATCTGGGCTCCAGTAGCCTAGAAAGTCTTTGATCACTTGTGTCACACGGTCACTGGAGATGCCTGTCCTGCACCCGGGGATACACTCCCTTCCAGCCCCAATTATGCTATTCAGCTGGGACCAGGACTCCTCCGTGGCTGGATTTGCTTTGCGAGCTTGGAAGCAGCATCTGCAGCTGCTAATCTGAGTGTGATTGCAGTAGGAGGGTTTGGGGGACAGGGAAGGGGCAGGACTTTTAAAAATACTGAAGAGTATCCTCTCTAGTTTAACCCTGCAGTCAGGTGGGCCAGGAACCTGGAGCTACGGTGGATTGTAGACAAGACATCCTACCCCAACCAGACAGATCATGAACACGTTTCAGGCAAAGGAAGGAGACACACAGTATTTTAGCAGCACCCTCATTCAGACTAAGGGCTTGTCTATCTGGAGAAATTTACTGGCATAATTATACTGGGATAATTAGACCACTATAGTTAGGGCACTATAACTCCCTGGGTGGACACTCATTCTGGAAAATTATACCGGTGAGTTATACCAGAATAACTTCAGCAGGATCCTTCTCCCAGTATAATTATGCCAGTAAATTTCCCCAGGTAGACATACCCCAACTGGGATATTGGCAACACCAGGAAGCTAGAGGTTTACCTGGCCTGCCCAGTTGGTGGGTGCTCTGCCCTCCCCCAGCCCTTGCGTTCTCCAGGTGGGACTGGCTGGAGTAGGAGTCACTTCCCAGAGCAAGCTGCTGGCCTTTTGTCAGGCTCTGAGTGTTATTTAGATGTATGCGCATGGCTCCAAGCCAGCCGCTCATGCGCACATGGCCAGCTCCTTCAGAGGCATTCACACGCTGACACTCCAGCAGCCCAGGTGACCTTGACATTTCCAAAGCGGATAATGGTCTGGGTGAATGAATGACAAGCTGAAGCCTGGAGGCAGGAGCATTTCCTCCCAGCCCACTACATCTGCAGGCAGGCGCAGTGAGGGCACTGTGGGAAATTCACAGGTGAGCAGAGGATAACAGCATGCAGCTCACAGCTGTTCGCTATGGCTGCTGGCAGCCTGGGCCATCACCTGCTAGGCCCTAGCAGCGCTGGGCAAGGCCCTGCCAATGGGCGAGGCCTCTCATAAAAACTCTTTTTAGTGAATGACAAAAAATAAAAAGGAGACACCACCCCATGAAATGCGGCGCCCGAGGTTCTGGGGCCAAGACCCTTCCCCCCCGAAGAGGTAGCAGCCGGGGGAGAGCAGTGTCTGCCTGAGGCTGCGTTAGATATCAAATCGTGTCTCATGCGTACGGTTGGGTTTGGTGTTATCTGCCTCCTTCTCCTCCGAGGAGGAGTCGTCATCGTCGTCGTCATCCTCAGCGGATGGAAGAGCATCTGCAAGAGAAGAGAAGAGAAGAGAAGAGAGGGCCGGGTTTCAGTTTTGCTTCCAGCTGCCTCACTTACCATCCTGCAGGAAGAAGAACCAAGCAGAGCTGCACAGGGCCACTCCCTTCCCAGGTGTGGCTTTTACCCTTCCTCCCCCTTGTCCTGCACATTCATTGGGCTGCCTAGGAGCCATTCACCCCCCCTTGTCTAAGTAGCAAAGGGGGTTCCCACTAATACAAACACAGCCCCAGAGCAACTTGCAGAATAGCGCCGATGGGCAGAATTAAAAGGCAGAGTTTAGGAACTGTATGTAACAGTTCCCCATTCCCCTTTGCCCGGGGACAATGGGAAGGGAGGGCTTCCCGGCATGCCCCTCCCAGACAGATGCTCACTGGTACATTCCACACGCTGGGGACCAGCAAGTCATGGCAACGCGATTTGCTGCCCGCACTGTGTCATCACACGAAGGGGGCAGAGCATGCAGGTACCAGAGCTCAGGCGAGGAGAGCTCTGCAGTCACCAGAGGTGGGTCAGACTGGTCAGGCTTCTTGCTGGTCCATGCCATTTTGCAGGCTTTCACCTCACATAACAGTGGGGTTCCAACACCAGGCACTGAGGAGCATGGAGTGGGACGCTCATGTGGATGGGGAAGCCAGGAGGGTCAAAACAAGCACTCCCTTTGGTCCTGGGAGGGACCTGAGTACATGGGTTCTGGAGCCAGGGGAGAGGGAGCGGAGAACTCTGGGCAGTCAGGGAGAAATGGAGGAAGTCTGGCCCCCACCTGGCCCCTCCATCTCTCTCCTTGGCCTTGCAACCACAGCTCAGAACAGCCCTGTCCGAGACAGGACCAGGGGCTGAGAGTTCTCACCCGCCCACACACAACCAACGGCCCAAGGACTTGGCAGCAAACATGTCCTAACTCCCTGGCGCAGGCCCTAGATGCCGTGGTGCGTACCACCATGCAGGAGTGCCGGTGCGCCCCAGCAGCCGCATTTCAGTTAGAACACGGGATTTTACATCCACTAAGGAGGCCAGGAAGTGGCGCGATCAGTGCTAGGAGCCTGGTCCTGCCGATTTTCATACTGAATTCAATGTAATGTCCACATTTCTGCTTTCAGTGTGCCACGCCTTGTGGCATTGGCAATACAGCACTATATTGGCAGAAAGGGAGCTGGGGGACGAAGCAGAAGAGTGGGGATTAGCTGGGGGTTCAGCCCCCAGGGAGGGGGGTTGAGATAGTGGCATAAGCACTAGCTGGATGTGTCTGCTATATCGATCAGCAGGGAAATGGTTAATAGCATTGACATTTAAATTGACACTGAGATGCACGGCAGCTCACCCCCCTTGGAGCTATCAGTTCAGTCTGTCTGCAGGTTCAGGCAGACAATGCTATAGCAGTTACGGTCAGGTCACGTTTCTAAGCATTTCTCTGAACACAACGTCTGGAGACACAATGCACCTTTGCGTGAGAGCTGAGGTTCTGCAGGCGCGTAAGTACCGACTGCCTGGGCCCCTCCCTCTACGGCAGCTCAGCTTCCTAACCACCATCAGGCATTCCCATTCCAACACCACGAGACATGCTAATTCTAGCCACTCTGACACCAGTTCCCAACCAGCTCCTTTTCACTGGCTATCGTATTTACCTGGCACCATGGTACCTCGACACTGCCCAGCCCGTCTAATAATTAATCTAGAGCTGAGCCTGGCTAATGCTTGTAAGCATGTCTGAAGCTGTTTTCCAAACAGGGTGATGGGCAGGCATGGCTGTGACACTGCATCCACACCCCACATGGAGACAGGCTAAGAAAGCACAATACAGATTCTCTAGTGGGGGTAAATTGATAGGGAGTTTTTAGTTTGTGAGGTTGTTAGAAAACCATCTGCCTCCCTCGACAGTCACTGAAATCAGCCCAAAGTGGGGCTAGCTACCCCCCTGCTGGAAAATGCTGTGCCGGACCATGGCTATCGCTAGCATGGCTGGGTGCCCAGGATGGATGGGGCCAAAACAGCTCAGAGAGCTTTAATGACAGGCTCTGCAGGGCCAGGCCGCCTGCGCCCAATTCTCTGGATGATGAAAGGGCTGTGATCTAGTCACCTATCCGACAGGTTAAACAAACAGTTCTGCCCCCACCCCGCCCTTTGTACTGGAGACACCTGCCAGCAGGGAGCAGCAAACTGGGCCAGAATAGAACTCTCAGGGAGTCAAAGACTGGGCCCAGGTCACTCTGTAGGCAGGTCCCAGCATTGCTGAGAAATTCTCATTTGATTCCTAAATGCCCAGTTACCCACCTCCTCCCTTCTCTCCCGCACCTTCCCTGCTCTGCTCGCTGACTGCTTGGGAACAGCTGCTAATGCTCCCAGCCTTCCTCTTCAGAACACCGCCCGATTGTTCCAGGGTCGGCAATAAAACCCAACGGCTGTTGGTCGTCTGGAGGATGAGCTCCCATTTGCCTCCCTGGCGTTCCCCTCCACAAGCGGTGTCCTGATGAACCCTGCGCACCAGACCCCATAGTGACCCCGCGAGACATGACCGAGCGCGCAGAGCAGCCAGCAAAACGTGCAGCTGGCCCAGTAAAACCTAGCTGGCTTTTCCTGCCCCTGGCCTGAGACAACCCCATGGCAGTTTTCTCCCACACCTTCCAGGGCCCAGAACAGCTACGTGACCAGGCTACAGGTCATGAGACAGACGCACAGGTGCACGATGCCCTCTCGGCCTGCAACACGGGGTTTGCAAACCCACTCACCACTCCCCAGACATTTCTTAGCAGCTAACCTGCCCCTAGGGCCTCTCCTCCCATGTCCAGCTAGCCCAGCAACTGCTCTGAATCCCCCCCATATACACCCTGCGGTGCAACACCTTTGCTCCAAACCATTCCAGGCAGCCTCCTGCAGCCAGCACTGAAAAGAGTCCTTGGGTGGGTGTAACACATTTCCATTACCCTGGTACTTGTATCCCCAATCATACCACTCCTGGATCAGCCCCAGGGGAACAGCTGCTGCAGCATGAGTCAAAGAAGCTGCGACATTCTGCATCTGCCCATCCCCGCTGAGGCAGCCAGCACAGCCAGTGAAAGGAGGGGGACGAGAAGTCCAACACGCTACGAATGTGCATCCAGGATGTATGGGCATGCGGTGCCACGGCACAGAGAACGCATCAGCTTATTCCTAGAACTTGGCAGGGAGGGTGCACAGGGATGCTCTGATGCTGGCTGCACACCAAGCCATTGTAAAGCTTTGGGGTTCCCCGACCAGTGCCCCACAGACCACAACAGCCCACCAGCTACCAGAAGAAAGATAAGACCATCTGCAGGTGTGTGCACACAAGGTTTGCACCCTGTTCCCACACAGGTAATCTGCTTCCTGCCCTACAGCCTGGCCCCCCTTCCCTTTGTGCCCAGCCCCAGGGCTGCTACGAACCTGAGACATTAACGGAGAAGTAGGTGGTCTCGCTCCCTGAGGGGCTGTTGGTCATGCAGGCATAGAGCCCTGAGTCCTCAGGCACAGCGTCCCTGACCTCTACCTCCTCCCCAGTGATGCGCGTCCGGTTGTTCTCTGATAGCTGGACCCCGTCTCGCACCCAGTTGATGCTCTGGACATCGTCCCGTAGCCGGCAGCGCAATTGGAGGAGGTCGCCAGGGTGAGCCGAATGCGACTCCACTTCAATTTTCGCTTTGGGCAGAACTGGAAGAGTTAGGAGAGAGAGAAAGAAAATAGAGACAAAAGGAAACCACGCTGTGAACGGACGTTTATTGGGGTTTGCGCGTCCCGCGGGGAGTCTCCTGCGCCACCCTCCTGCAGCGACTCTGCAGGCCAAACCCTGCTCCGGGATGCAGGTCTCAGCTTTCCACACGTGGCAGTTTGGAGAAGCAGCGTCGGGGCGCAGTGTGACGGGCTGTTGTCTTTTAATCCAGCTGCGATGATGGGCACGGGAAGCAGCTAACGACAGCTGCAACAGGGTGCCATGCTTGCCAGGCAGATGGCTGCATCCGGTGGAGACGTGCCGGTGACTTGAAGACGGCATGGTGCGAAGGACAATTCAGCTCACCTACCTGTCAGCCTGAAAAGCACAGCAGCTAGCAGGCCTGCCACGCAGCCCACAGAGCGGGGGGAGAGGGGAAGAAGAGGCAGAGGTTAAAAGCAACTGCAGCAGGATTAAGCATTTCACCTTCATTTTATAACCCAGACATTAGCAAGGAAATTGAGGCTGTTCATGCGCCCTTTGACCTTTTACCAAGCATCACTCAGCCCAGCCCCTTAGGGTAAGAAAATACTTTGGCCAAGGTTTTCAGAAGGGAATTTTGGGGGCTCAACTTGAGACGTCTCAAAGGGGCCTGGTTTTCAGAGGATGGGTGCTGGGCACTTTCTGAAAATCAGGCCCCTTTAAGGGGGTCTTCAGTTGGGCACTCAAAATTGCAACTCACTTCTGAAAATCTTGGCTTATTCATGACTCTCTCCCCTGCCCCCCTCCTCCCTCCAGTAGCTGAACCCCACCAGAGAGAGAGCACATGCAGAGGCTGCTCTTGGGAGCACCACGCTCTGCCCAATCTCTCCCTTCCTGCAAAGCTCAGGGAAGGCAGCCAGCAAAGCAGGCCAGGTTTCATGCTGCCTGATTATCACTTCGCTTAAAGCATTTTAAGGAAGGGGGAGAAGGTGGAAGATCAATTGAGGGAACTGCATTAAGGCAGAGGCTAAGTGGTAAATGCTTTCATAACAGCAGTGTCCTGGCTGGGCCGGGTCAGCTCAGGTGAGCCTCCAGTTGAACAGGTGCTGGCTGGAGTATTCCAAGTTTCCAACTCTATTAAGATGGGAGAATTGCAGCTGCCATCAAATGCAACATTTGGTTTAGCAGCACAAAGATCCTTTCTCTTCACTCCAAGACGCTCCGACTCTACTTGATCTGTTGTCTCCCAACTACATTAGAGCCAGTCTGAGCATGTGTGGGCTGGGAGGCTGGGCCTCAGGCACTGCCTTTTAAACCGCTGTCTTGCAGGGTCACTGTTCCAGGATTCCTCTCTGGTTCCTGCTTTAGAGAACACCTGATACAAAGGTGTAGCTGAGGAGCAAGGCTGCAACCTCCGAGTGTGTGAGAACAAACAGAGCCCTCCAGAGGTTTCACATGCAAACCAACTACTCTGCACCTCCTGGCTCCAAGCAAAGCCACTTGAGATGAGTCCAATCTGGAAGCAGCTCATGTGAGGCTCCCTGAATTCTACCTACCTATCATTTGAGAGCAGTGTCAGCTGAAATACACAGAGACCCACTTGTGCACTCTCCCAGACCCCGAACTCTGCCTCAGGGAGCAGAGTCTCAAGGGGAGACATTGCTTCTAAAGACACTAGTCGCCTACAGGGCGAAATGTCACGATGGCCTCCCGCAGAGAAGTCTTTACCCCTGCAGAGGTTCAATCCCTCTCCCCACAGCTGCTCAAGGCATCATGGCTGGAAGGACTTGGGAGTTGCAGGGCCAGGAACAAAGGGGGAAGGAGGCAGGGTACCATAGGAGATACCCACCCTCCGATGCCAAACAAATCACTGCTTTAGCTTGGTGCAATACCTGGCACTGCCAGGGAGAGCAGGACACTGCGAAAGCCAGGGTGTCTCTCTGGGGCATGGCCTAGGTGTCCATGGCTCCATAGGCTTGGTTCAGCTCACACCCAATATCGGAAAGGACGAGAGCACGACCCTCCCACCTGCTCCCATCCCCATCAGCCCTGTTTGGGCTCCAATTCAATTTGGAGGCTTTCTCCACCAGCGTGATATTGAATCCAAGAGCAAAACGTCAATTGGATTTCCTCCGTGTGTGTCAGACTTCCCACAGCCTCCCCAATGCCTGAGTGGCATTACATACCCCCAACCTCTGTGCTAAGCTAATTTATCAGTGCACTCATCCATCAAACAGACAAGAGCTTTCTGGTGGATACTGCTAGAAACACACAGCAGTGCCCCTTCCCCTCCCCCAGAGAGGAACTCATAAAGAGATACCAGTGGGAGCGCTCTGCGCATTGGCATTATCCCAGCATCATGCTCAGAAAGCCACTTGTTCACAGAGCTGCAGACTCGGGCTACAGCGTGTGACCCCTACAAGCATGACTCCGTCTGCTCCACACAGGTAAGTCGTTTACAACAGATGACTTACCTGCCCAGAACCCCTGGGGCTGAGCACTTCATACCCTGCAGCCATCAAACACACACACAACCTGTGCAAACAACTCCAGCAATGTAAGCACAAAACAACATTGAAAGAAGCTTGCTGAGGTATTGATTGCTAAGTGCATTTTTCTTCCCATGCTGCCCTGGGGAGTTATCCTGAAATGCAACATGGTTTGCCCCATCCACAAAGTTACACAAGTTTAACTTAAATAAGTTTTTAAACTATAAAGCCGGTGCCACTCTTTGTGTGGACACTTATTTTAGTTTGGCTTAAATGGATTTCTAATTACTTTAGCTAACACCCTTGCCCCCACAAAGAGGCTTGCATTGGTTTAAAAATCACACCTTTAAACAGTGCAACTTCAGGGCACAGACTATATTTATGTACAGCACCTTGGACAACAAGGACCTAGTCTCTTAAGCGCAACTGTAATACAAATAATATTTTAGTATTAAAAAAATGAAAGATCCATTTAGAGGAACTTTGCTTTTTTCTGCTATAGATCCTGTCTTGTTTTTGTTGTTGCTGTTGTTTTTTTAGGCATTTCTTTATTTCTTATACATGAGATGCTTTGGGGGAAAATGTTTAAGAGAAAACAGCCAAAATGTTTTCGTGATTTAAAAAAAAAATTGACTGGTTAGTTGGGAGGAAAATTCACGGTCCGCCCTGCAGTGCTGTCAACCCAAACCACCAAGGGCAGGGTGCCAAATGCCTCAGAAGTTTATCAATAACACAAATAAAAAGTTTTGTAATATGGGAGTTTTAGACTGACAGCAGCCCTTTAAGTAATCAGGGAAAGCAGTCTCGCTTTCCTTGATCTTGTACAACCTCATGAAATGTGCATTTCTTGTAGCTCTGGCATTTTGTGTTTCAAATTATTAGTCACAGGCACCTTACAAAGCAGATTTCCATCCCATCTATGTACTCAGACACCAAAGGACTCTGCAGTGTAATGTTGTTCTGTTCCCTCCTTTCCAACAATAACAAACAACAACAGACCAACAACAAAAGAAATCACTCCAGAAAATGATACCATCTCACGAAAATCCCTCACTCCACCGCATCAAACAAACTGCTTGTCCTCACTTTCAAGGTCGTTTACAGTCATCCCCCCACCTGTCCTCTCTCACTTTCTACTGAGAGGTCTACTCCTGCCTCTGATCAGCCCATGATTCCAGCCTCCATCGCCCACTTGCTAAACTTTCAAACAAGCAGCCTTGTGCTCTCTTCCACTCTGCCCCAGATGCTTATAAGTTGCTCCCCAAAGCTACCTCACGATCCACCTTCAAATGCCTCCTTGAAACCTCCTTTCCCGCAATGGCTATAAAAAAAACTTGACAAGCCAAGGCTGCGGGTGAGCTGAGACCACAGTCCATCACATGGACCAACATTGTCTCCTGTACTCCCCTGTTGGTCCATGTGATTGGTCACCTCTTGTCTCAGATTGTAAACTCTTTGGGGCAGGGACTGTCCTTTTGTTCTGTGTTTGTACAGCGCCCAGCACAGTGCGTCCATGGCCAGGGCTCCTACATGCGACAGTAACACTAATAAGAAGCAGACACTTTCCCGTTATCTTTTTTGCCCCGAAACTGTGTTAGCAACTGTTCTCCAAGTGGGGTAAGCAGGGTACAGTTTAAATCATATCCATCTCATGCACTTATTTCGTATAGAAACAGATCACCTGGGGAAGGCTTGTGGCCTGTTTTTTATGTCTCCCACCGAAGCCACAGAGGAGCTGTAAGCACTCATCCCCGCTGCAAGCCAGGCCACCTTGCTTTGGTTTGGTGCCTTGCTTATTGCTGATATTTACTTAGACTGTGAGGTTTTGCTTTGTCTGTGAAAGTCCTGCTAGCACTTCAGTCTAAGCCCAGCCACTGCTCCCTGCATCCAGGGGTATGAGGGAGTCAAAAGCTTTGATAGGAATCAGACTTTGAAGTTTGGAGGCACACCCAGAAGTGCCATGGACTGCTCCAATATTGCCAACTGCAGTTATTGTGCAATTATCTGATCGCTGTACGTGCTGGGAGATTTAGAACAGGGATTATTAGACCCTTCAGATTCCCAGTTCATGTTGGAGGTGTCCTCTTCCATTAAACAAACTCTGGGCCCATAAAAAGTCACTTTAGCCAGGAAAAAAATATTCCTGTTCAACAGGCCAAAGCTAGTACAAATCCTCTGCACTGTTTGTGCTGGGGACCAGGGCAAGGCATTGCCTATAAAACTGGCGTGGAAAGAATTTCAAGAAAGCTTGCCAGCAATTCTATGATGGTCTACGATAGTCTGCAAATCCTTACACATCTCAGCTGGACCTACAGAACTGGTGAGAAGATTGCTCGGGGTGTGGTGGGAGGAATTTGGGAGAGAACAAAACGTCAGGACAATTTACAATCAATCAGCTTTATCGAATATCCTGGGGCATTTGCACGCAGAACCCGGGTATGTTATTTTTCACATGGGGGTTTGATGCATGAACATGGACACAGGGCTGACGAGGGACCCATTCTCTCCAGGCAGGGATCCCTATGATGGGT